GGGTTCAAGTCCGGGCTTTGGCTGGGCCACTCAAGGACATTCAGAGACTTGTCCCGAAGCCACTCCTGCATTGTCTTGGCTGTGTGCTTAGGGTTGTTGTCCTGTCTGAGGTCCTGAGTGCTCTGGAGCAGGTTTTCATCAAGGATCTCTCTGTACTTTGCTCCGTTCATCTTTCCTTTGATGCTGACTAGTCTACCAGTCCCATCTCTACAGAGAAACTCTGGAGCTCTGTCAAAGTGACCATCGGGTTCTTGGTCACCTCCCTGATCAAGGCCCTTCTATCCCGATTGCTCAGTTTGGCCGGGCGGCCAGCTCTAGGAAGAGTCTTGGTGGTTCCAAACTTCTTCCATTTAAGATTGATGGAGGCCACTGTGTTCTTGGGGACCTTCAATGCAGCATACATTTTTTGGTACCCTTCCCCAGATCTGTGCCTCAACACATCCTGTCTCGGAGCTCTACGGACAATTCCTTCGGACCTCATGGCTTGGTTTTTGTTCTGACATGCACTGTCAACTGTGGGACCTTATATAGACAGGTGTGTGCCTTTCCAAATCATGTTAAATCAATTGAATTTACCACAGCTGGACTCCATTCAAGTTGTAGAAACATCTCAAGCATGATCAATGGAAACAGAATGCACCTGAGCTCAATATCGTGTCTCATAGCAAAGGGTCTGAATACTTATGTAAATAAGGTATTTCTGTTTTTTGTTTTTTTAAATAAATTTACCCAAAAATCTAAAAACCTGTTTTCGCTTTGTCATTATGGGGTATTGTGTGTAGATTGATGACAAAATGTTTTTATTTAATCCATTTTAGAATAAGGCTGTAACGTAACAAAATGTGGAAAAAGGGAAGGGGTCTGAATACTTTCCGAATGCACTGTCGGTACTGAGTGCATTGGTAGGAGTCGTAAGAGGGGTGATTCTGGGCTAAGCCAACCCAGATTAGAGAGGGCACCCCGTCATAGTGTTCTACGGCAGAAGGGTTCAAGTATTGAATAAGAAGAAGAGACTTGCATGGGCCAAGAGCAATGGACATTAGACAGCTGGAAATCTGTCCTTTGGTCTGATGAGTCCAAATTTGAGACTCCGCCGTGTCTTTGTGAGACGCAGAGTAGGTGAACGGATGATCTCCGCGTGTGGTTCCCACCGTGAAGCATGGAGGAGGAGGTGTGATGGTGCTTTGCTGGTGACACTGTGGGTGATTTATTTAGAATTCAAGGCACACTTAACCAGCATGGCTTCCACAGCATTCTGCAGCGATACGCCATTTTACATTTTTGTTTTCTCATTTAGCAGACGCTCTTATCCAGAGTGATTTACAGTTAGTGAGTGCATACATTTTCATACTGGCCCCCCGTGGGAAACGAACCCACAACCCTGGCGTTGCAAGCGCCATGCTCTACCAACTGAGCTACAGGGGACCCATCTGGTTTGTGCTTAGTGGGACTATCATTTATTTTTCAACAGGATAATGACCCAACACACCTCCAGGCTGTGTAAGTGCTATTTGACCAAGAAGGAGAGTGATGGAGTGCTGCATCAGATGACCTGGCCTCCACAATCACCCGACCTCAACCCAATTGAGATGGTTTGGGATGAGTTGGACCACAGAGTCCAACTCATCCCAAACCAACAAGTGCTCAGCAAATGTGGGAACTCCTTCAAGACTGTTGGAAAAGCATTACAGGTGAAGCTGGTTGAGAGAATGCCAAGAGTGTTGAAAGCTGTCATCAAGGCAAAGGGTGGCTACTTTGAAGAATCTCAAATATAAAATATATTTTGATTTGTTTAACACTTTTTTGTTTACTACATGATTCCATATGTGTTCTTTCATAGTTTTGATGACTTCACTATTATTGTGTGTGTGTGTGTGTGTGTGTGTGTGTGTGTGTGTGTGTGTGTGAGAGTGTGTGTGTGTGTGTGTGTGTGTGTGTGAGTGTGTGAGTGTGTGTGTGTGTGTGTGTGTGTGTGTGTGTGTGAGTGTGTGAGTGTGTGTGTGTGTGTGTGTGTGTGTGTGTGAGTGTGTGTGTGTGTGTGTGTGTGTGTGTGTGAGTGTGTGTGTGTGTGTGTGAGTGTGTGTGTGTGTGTGTGTGTGTGTGTGTGTGTATGTACACAGTAATAGTGTGTAAGTGATGGTTAACTGCTCCCCTGCTGGTCAATGACTCAAGGTCTGCATCCCAAAAGGAACCCTATTCCCTACATAGTGCACTACTTTTGAACAGAGCCCTATGGGCCCTAGTGCTCTATGTAGGGAATAGGGTGCTATTTGGGACTGAGAGAGATGACTCATCCAGCGATGACTCATCCCCCCAGAGTAACATGTTCCTGACTGGCTTTATATTGTATACCGCCCTATACAACACACACATACACACACACTCGCATGCAGACAAACATACACACACACACACACACACACTCACACACACACACCCACACAAACACAATGGTGACATTTCAACATTTCAACAGTCAAGCAGGGCTTGAAATTCATTTTTACAATTTTTTTACATCATTGTATGATGCAAGGAACCACTTTACAAAATAAAATTACTATATTTTTTACCGTAGAGAATCAGACGAAATGTAGGCTACACTCCGCCTGTTGGCTTCTTTGCATTATTCAAGCCTGTCTCAAAATACAACACTGGCCCTTTAAGGCTCTCCTGCAGGATGGTTGGCCAACCCTGGCAAACTATAAAATACTGCAACATCACAATTACAACCAAATACATTTAAACTTTTTAAAAGAATTCCCCCCAGGGCTCGGAATTAAGGGCGTTCCGTCGTCCCTGGGACGATGACAAATACAGTGCGCTCCAACAGTATCGGGACAGTGACATTTCTGTTGTTGTTTTAGCTCTGTACTCCAGCACTTTGGATTTTTAATGATACAATGACTATGGAGGGTAAACGTGCAGACTGTCAGCTTTAATTTGAGGGTATTTTCATCCATACCGGGTGAAACGTTTAGAAATTACAGCACTTTCTGTAAAGTATTGGGACAAATTCACTAATATGTGTATTAAAGTAGTATAAAGTTAAGTAGCATAAAGTTAAGTATTTGGTACCATATTTGTAGCCCGCAATGACCACATTAAGCAGGTGACTCTACAAATGTATGTTTCAGATTGTTTTGTGCCCAATAGAAATGGTAAATAATGTATTGTGTCATTTTGGAGTCACTTTTATTGTAAATAAGAATATAATATATTTCTAAACACTTCTACATTAAAATGGGTGCTACCATAATTATGGATAATCCTGAATGAATCGTGTATAATGATGAGTGAGAAAGTTACAGACACACAAATATCATACCCCCAAGACATGCCAACCTCTCACCATTACAATAACAGGGGAGGTTCAAAACAGACAGTTCTGGGACAACAGTTAAAAAATTCATACAACCACTGCACATACATTTTTTTTTTAAAAAGCAATGAGGCTAATGGAACTTTTATTTCTTCATATTACAAAGTCAACAATGTGCACATGGGTGTAGCGTTTTCATGTGACAAAGATGAAAATATCAGTTAGAAATTAAGAAAGGGGAGATCTAAAGATGCAATAACTATCATGGGTTACCAATATGACAGCCAGGTTGTTCAAGATTGACATCGAAATTGGACGTCTATCCATGTCCTGAGGATGTCGGGAAATGCCTTCAAAACCGGCCACTAGGGACAACCATTCGGAATGAGTGCCTAAACTTAATGTTTTAACCGTATCCCAAACCTTAACCCGTACCTTAACCATTCGGAATGAGTGCCTAAACCTTAACTTCTAAATTTGACGTTTGGAGAAATTGAATGATACAGAGCAGCAGGAGCAACAAAAACACTTCGAAATGTGATGTCTAATTCTGCAGTGAGACTGTGAGAGTTTGTTGAGGATTATGCCTTTGGCTGCTGGACAATAAAATAATGTTGATTTGAAAACCAACATCAGAACATGAGAAAAATGCTGGTTTTAATGGCATAGCCTATTAAGTGTTTATAAAATAATTCCCTCAACATTTATATGGTCGTATTTCGGCTAGGCTAGGCTACTTTGAAACAAGGTAAGACATGCTTCATCAAATGACATACAACTTCCAGGTTAAAAAAAATAATTTTATGGTTAAATAAATGTGATGTGCGCAACATTTACATTTACGTCATTTAGCAGACGCTCTTATCCAGAGCGACTTACAGTTAGTGCATACATTATTCTTTTTTTTTCTTCATACAGGCCCCCCGTGGGAATCGAACCCACAACCCTGGCGTTGCAAACGCCATGCTCTACCAACTGAGTTACCTCCCTGCCTGCAACAGGCACTGTCCTTCACTCTTCGGTCTTGTGACCATTTAATCTGAACGAACCGTGCCTCGAGTATGTCGACAGAATCAAGCTTTTAGACGTTCATGTTAAATATCCTTTCTTTTATTTGTCAAACATGACTGCCGTTTAGCCGGCACCCTATTCCCTATATAGTGCACTACTTTAGACAAGAGAAAGGCACCCTGTATTTATGTAATTAAAAGTCTCATTAAAAGTTTGGCTACATTTTCTGGCGCCTCTCCCATGTCAGCATCGGTTTGGACACAAGGCTGTAGCCGAAACGCACGTCACCTACACTTTGACCTGTAGGCTTTAAAAATATATATATATTATTAGAATGTTGGCCTCTTTGATCCAATTCTGATCGGAGTACTTGTTTGATGTTGTGATGTAAATGTTAAATCTATATTCTTATTGAAATGAGTAAAATTGTTCTTCCTATTTATTCTAAAATGACATGAAAAAAGTCCATTTCTGATCTTTTATAACAGTGAGGTGGAATAATGGACGAGTAAATTCAAAGAGAGAGTTGTACCACATCACTCCTTATCAAGACCACCATTCAAATAGCTTATAGACTTTTCAACATATGTGATTTGACAAAATTCAGCTCATTTTAAAAGAAGACACATGTGCACCACATAAAGACATTTAAAAACCAGTGGTCACCCTATGGGGACTCTCTTCCTGATGGCTGGACCGTTTCCACTTTGGACAGGGTGGCCGGCACCTTCCCTTCCCCTCCCCTGCTCCAGGGGCCTTCATAACAGCCTCTCCCTGTGCCCCCCCCCTCTGTCCTTCCCTTCCTTCCACACTCCACCCCTCCCTTCTTCACCCTCTCCCTCTGATGTAGCCTCTCTTTCAATCGGCTCCTGGAGAAGGACCAGAGAAGGAGGCCTGCCACGGTCAGACCCGATCCCAGGCAGGTGAGACCGATCCCGGCCACGACGCGGTGGTGCAGCCCCCTGTTAAAGCTGACAGCCTGTGTGTCTATGAAGAGGAGGTCCCCCTCCCCGAAGGATTCGATCCTGGTGGCGCCTGAGTAGCCCACTGACAGACTGACCAGACCACAGGTCACCATCAGGAGACCAAGGGCCAGAGAGACCTGAGAGAGAGGGAGAGAGGGAGGGAAAGAGGGGGTGGGGAGAGGGAGAGAGAGGAGAAGAGGGGGGAAAGAGGGGAAAGAGGGGGTGGGAGAGAGAGAAGAGGGGGAAAGCAGAGAAAAGGAGAGAGAGAGATTGCGAGGGAGGGAGGGAGGGAGGGAGGGAGAGAGAGACAGAGAGAGAGAGAGAAAAGGAATATCATCAGCTGCAGGCACTGCAGTACGCTAAGTCAGAATTATGGTGACTGACATTCGTCCTCGAAGTCCTTAGCATTCTTACGTGCACTTCGCTATCCTTGTCTGTCAACATTCCTTATCCTTCACATGCCTCCTTCCCTAGTACCTATGGATCATTTATCACGCGACTCCTCGAGCACCTATGCGATACCATCGACCAGAGCAGATCTCAAAATTTCGGACTCCCTAACCATCTGTTCTATTATTACTAGAGACTGCGAAGTAGCATAGCGACGATGCATAGCTCATCCGATCGCATCTAGCTGATCACCCCTCTCAGTTTACTGCCAGACAGCTCACCTCATGAAGTTGCACGTTAGTTATCTACCTTCCAGATTCGCGAGCTCACCTCCTGGGCGACTCAGAGGTCTGATGTCCCCTCACTCTCAGGGTCTCTCTCACCACCCTCCAGACCACCCGTCTAGGCCTCCCCTCTCCTCACGTCCTCCCCACCCTGACGCAGTGCTGCACCCCTCATAGAAGTGGTGCAGGTAGGAACGCACCCCAAACTGCAGACACGCACAGCTAGAACCTACCTGTGGGAGGTAACCATAGAAACAGAAGATGTAGAATGGATATTCCCAATCAAACATCATTCCATGGTGAGTAATCTTGGCATCCTGAACCAAATAATAGTACAAGTGTATAAATGTGTAATTCCAATCTCACCTCACTGCCTGAGGACCCTGTCCCACACCCAGACCCTGAGTTGCAGGCCTCAGGGCACGACGCCATCACACCTCACACACCTGGAGAAACACACATAGAGACACATGAAGACACACTACACACACACACACACACACACACACACACACACACACACACACACACACACACACACACACACACACACACTCAATTGTGGTTGTCTTTCCCTAACTGTTTCCAAGGCCTACAGATGTACATCAAACTGTCTCCTTGTCTCCTGCTTTAGACTGTAGACTACAAATATATGTGTAAACCCTGGGTTGCTGATGCTATGTATTGCCCAATGAGAGGCTTTGAAGCCACCGGTCGGCCATATTGGCACTCCCCAGTAGGAGCCGTCCTCCATAGGAATGAATGGAATTCTACAGTATTTCAATTACATTTTTCAAGGACAAAATTACACATATTTACGTATATATTTGTTTTGGTTATAGTGGGGACAGTAGCATTAGTAATCAAAAAAAAATACATACTTTTAAGGATTTCTTTCCTGTATTTTTTTTTTTCAATGTATTTTTAAATCACATAATATAATTTAAAAGTATGCATTAAGGTGACTGTAATAGAAAAAATGTGGCAAAAAACGAACGTAGAAATTAATAAATGCATATTCTATAGCTGCCAAAATAGTTTTTAGAATGGTGTATGAGTGGCAAGATGGCGGCGCAGTGGGTGGCTTCAACATGGCGCCCCCCTAAGTCAATTTACTGCAGGAAAGGGCTATGAAGTCTGTAAGAAGATATTTCGGAAGTTTGTAAGAAAAACTTTGACATCTTAAGATATTGTTGAGGAATTGTACCTTACTAATTATCTTAAGCTTCCTCATTTTTTTGGCATAAGAAGTGTTTTTGTGAAACTGGGCCCTAACACTTAAAACTGGGCCCTATCACTTCAGTAATTCCTGGGTGTCTCCTTCGCCTCAGTGTCATCAAGCAACGGCAGAAGGATTGAGATCTGTCTGTGTAGGATGATGCCATGACGCCAAGGCCCATGGGTTGATAGCCACCCACGGATGAGTCACACACACACACACACACACAACACCACACACACACACACACACACACCACAACACACACACACACACACACACACACACACACACCACACACACACACACACACACACACACACTCATACACAGACAGTCTATAGGGAGCTATTCTCTTCTCACTTGAATAGCTTTAGTTTGAACAGAATGGCTACACTAGAGACTTACTCATAACACTTGACAAGATGCGTTGTGAGCAACACCGTCAAGATAACTAGCTAATCTATTTTTAGCACTGAACTGAAGTGCATGATTTGTCATGAAATGAGACAGACGTGCAACACAACATATTAAATGTATCACATTTAGATACGTGACTGGTTCTCATCAGCCAATTCCTCAGCTTCTTTTCCCACATTGTTTGTTCAGATTAAAGACAGCAAGACTAAATGTCGAAAAAGATTATCGATTTTTGCAGCAGTTAGTTTTCAATTTTGGTGCTGAAAACTGACCATTCTCCCCACAAATGCAGTGGTAGACAGAAGATAATGTAGTCTCAACTCTTTCCCCCAATCCTCATTGTCCAATTACGTGCTATAAAATGCCGTTTTCACAACTCTCTCCTGGCAAAACATGTCAATATTTAACACGAACGACAAGTTCATTAGAGGCTATTTAGGCTCAAATGCTGACATCATTTTTGCAATCTTACCTGGCCCGGAGTGCTCGCTTCCCCGCCGCGGTCTTACTCGAGTCCCATTGCCAAACGAGCTCTCGGATCCGGCGAATCTACAGTTGACTTGACTTCAAACAGTCAATTTGCAATAAAGCGCCTATGCGCAGGCGCACAGCTCCAACCCGTTTGTCATCAGAAGAACCCGGTTGTCACTAGTTACCACAGCCATGGCTAAACCCTGCCTATTTCTTCCAATTTATCTGCTTCCTTAAATAGCCGAGATTTTCAGTAATGAGATTTCCTTCTGAAACTTACCTCAACACTCCGGCGGTGCCTTCCAGGTGACCGTGCCTGAAACACAAGGAGTTGGGGGCAGTGATGATTAGTTGAGTTCCACAGGCTGTATCGAATATCGAACTCCAAACCTTCGAGTCTCTAGACAAGTCCACTGACCACAGTGCCAATATAATGAACTCTTTTGGAGGGGCAGGTTTCTACACTCGCTGCAGTAGGCTATTCAGTTCTGTAATCGAACACAGCCTGTGCAATGGTAAGATGGGATACGAGTGAAGTCTCAGAGTCACTGACTAGGGCTGTAATGAACTGAGAAAAAGAGGAACCCTATTCGAGACAGAGAGACCTGAACGCACACACACACACACACACACACACACACACACACACACACACACACACAAACACACACACACTGAGTCACATCCTGATTATGTGGGTTATGTAAATATTTAATTTAGTCCTGGCTATGTATAATTCATACAGTGTGTAATATCCTAAAACAGTGACACAACACGTCCCACAGGAAAACAACAACAAAACATCTCGGCAGCTTCCCAAATGGCACCCTATTCCCTACACAGTGCACTACGGAATAGGGTGCCATTTGGAACGTAGTCCTCATTTAGGGAAGAAACTACAAGGAGAATAAGGGAAGCTTGGGTACCAGATTGTTTCTGCATTCAACAAATTCAACTCTTCATTGTCATGCCAAGACAAACACATTTTATTGTTTATTGTTTTAATCTAACTGTTTATTCAGTTGATTGTTGGTCTTGATCACAACTGTCCTACTGAGTTTTAGTGGTGCTACACCTAGGATTATTAGGAATTTTTGCATTGTAATTTCAGAAAATGTCCATAATATATCTGGCGCTAATAGTGGAACGATAGCGTTTCACAGTATTACTTACACGCCAGTGTTGTGATTGGTTGTGATATTCACCTATTTTTTAAAAATTAATTAATATTATTTTTTATTTTTTATAGGGGGTAGATCAGCTTTAATATTGCAGATAGATTGTAACTTCCATCAATGTAATTGTCTGCATCACTTCCAATCCCCCATAAGTTGTTTTTCTTGCATATATATATATATATATATATATATATATATATATACATATACATATACATACATACACATACACATACATATACACATACATACATATACAGTGGGAGAGAACAAGTATTTGATACACTGCCAATTTTGCAGGTTTTCCTACTTACTAAGCATGTAGAGGTCTGTAATTTTTTATCAAAGGTACACTTCAACTGTGAGAGACGGAATCTAAAACAAAAATCCAGAAAATCACATTGTATGATTTTTAAGTAATTAATTTGCATTTTATTGCATGACATAAGTATTTGATCACCTACCAACCAGTAAGAATTCCGGCTCTCACAGACCTGTTAGTTTTTCTTTAAGAAGTGTTCCTGTTCTCCACTCATTACCTGTATTAACTGCACCTGTTTGAACTCATTACCTGTATAAAAGACACCTGTCCACACACTCAATCAAACAGACTCCAACCTCTCCACAATGGCCAAGACCAGAGAGCTGTGTAAGGACATCAGGGATACAATTGTAGACCTGCACAAGGCTGGGATGGGCTACAGGACAATAGGCAAGCAGCTTGGTGAGAAGGCAACAACTGTTGGCGCAATTATTAGAAAATGGAAGAAGTTCAAGATGACGGTCAATCACCCTCGGTCTGGTGCTCCATGCAAGATCTCACCTCGTGGGGCATCAATGATCATGAGGAAGGTGAGGGGTCAGCCCAGAAGGACCTGGTCAATGACCTGAAGAGAGCTGGGACCACAGTCTCAAAGAAAACAATTAATAACACACTACGCCGTCATGGATTAAAATCCTGCAGCGCACGCAAGGTTCCCCTGCTCAAGCCAGCGCATGTCCAGGCCCGTCTGAAGTTTGCCAATGACCATCTGGATGATCCAAAGGAGGAATGGGAGAAGGTCATGTGGTCTGATGAGACAAAAATATAGCTTTTTGGTCTAAACTCCACTCGCCGTGTTTGGAGGAAGAAGAAGGATGAGTACAACCCCAAGAACACCATCCCAACCGTGAAGCATGGAGGTGGAAACATCATTCTTTGGGGATGCTTTTCTGCAAAGGGGACAGGACGACTGCACCGTATTGAGGGGAGGATGGATGGGGCCATGTATCGCGAGATCTTGGCCAACAACCTCCTTCCCTCAGTAAGAGCATTGAAGATGGGTCGTGGCTGGGTCTTCCAGCATGACAACGACCCGAAACACACAGCCAGGGCAACTAAGGAGTGGCAGTGTAAGAAGCATCTCAAGGTCCTGGAGTGGTCTAGCCAGTCTCCAGACCTGAACCCAATCGAAAATCTTTGGAGGGAGCTGAAAGTCCGTATTGCCCAGTGACAGCCCCGAAACCTGAAGGATCTGGAGAAGGTCTGTTTGGAGGAGTGGGCCAAAATCCCTGCTGCAGTGTGTGCAAACCTGGTCAAGACCTACAGGAAACGTATGATCTCTGTAATTGCAAACAAAGGTTTCTGTACCAAATATTAAGTTCTGCTTTTCTGATGTATCAAATACTTATGTCATGCAATAAAATGCAAATTAATTAATTACAAATCATACAATGTGATTTTCTGGATTTTTGTTTTAGATTCCGTCTCTCACAGTTGAAGTGTACCTATGATAAAAATTACAGACCTCTACATGCTTTGTAAGTAGGAAAACCTGCAAAATCGGCAGTGTATCAAATACTTGTTCTCCCCACTGTAAATACATATACATACAAATATATACATATCTTAAAAAATATATATATATTTCCCTTTATTACTTTCCAACCCCTTCCCTAATTGGAGTAAACTAGTGAACAACAACGCTTAGGCCTCTACTTCCAGCTTATACATACTATATACATTTTATGGACACAGTCAATTTTATTCGCCTATTGATTGCTGGAGCGGCATCTGTTGTCAAACTGGGAAAGCTGTCCTGACTTTGTGGCTGTGTTAGTGTTTCTAGTGGAAATCGCTCTGTCATTTCATGGTTGCTAAAATTCAACA